AACACTATGGAATGGTGTTTGGAATCAGAATCTCTTGAGCAAGTTACTTTCTATGCCCCAGTTTCATCATCTATAAAATGGGAAATAATGACAATATCTGCCTCATAAAATTGTCAGGAGAAAATTATATAATATATTAAAATGTTTATGTAGCATAATGAGTGACATATAGTAACTATTTAGAAGTATAGCTATTCAAGTATTATTGTTACCACAAAGGTAGAGTAGAACTTTTCTTTTGTCCATGGAATTTTTACCAAATTCTGGCAGAAGTGATTATTATGGCCCAGCATTAATCACAGATACAAAAAAGGTGGAGTTAAGGAATCATTGCAGGAGGCCTATTTTTCTGGGGTAGCTAGATGTCGATGTTTTGACTTAAGTGTCCACTCAGCCTTGGACTATTTGTCCAGTAATTTATGAACTTAGAATATTTCAAGTTTTCCTTCCCAACTCTTGATACGGTTGCTTTACATTTCCCTGTCCACTTTAGTTAGCTATAGCCACATCTCTTGTATTAGCCAGTGAAATGTGAACAGTAGTGCTCTTGACCACTTCCAGGAAGAACGTTCTAAGAACCAGGCTGTGAGTGAAGTCCTTGGCAGTTGGCAGTGGTAGAAGCATAGAAATGAGGGCTGCACTCTTAGGCCTGGGTCTTGGAGTCAAGACACCATAAGGATGGTCTCTCCACTGACCTGCAATGGACATGTAGTGGAAGTGAGAAATAAGCTTTGCTGTCTACACCACTAAGATTTTGGGGTTGTTCATTAACACATAGTATAACCTAGTCTATCCTGACAGATTCATTCTGATTATCCCTTCAAACTCTAGAGGAAAAGTATATTATTGGTAACAGTACATAAAATATGTGGCTATTGGGAAACTGTAATTTCTAATGACTATTTTGTGTGTGTCTTATACATTGTGTTATATGTAAGTATCAGGAGATAGAGTTTTAAGTTAAATAGTTTTAGAGTTTTAAGCCCTATAGCACTGTTCCTGTTATAAACAATGACACTTGCTACATAGAGGGTCTTAAATAATGTGTATTAAATAAATGATTGGAAGTGGTCCACAGTTTTTCCATATGCCTGGACTCTTTCATGTTTATATTTTAAAGATTGATTTATTACGTAATAAATCAATCTTTATGCACACACAAATGTGTGTGCATACAGGGGGGAAGGGTAGAGGGAGAAGAAGAGAGAATCCTAAACAGACTATGCTAAGCAGGATGAGCCCAACCTGTGGCTCCAAGTCACAACCCATGAAATCATGACCTGAGCCGAAACCAAGAGTGGGACAGCCAACTGACTGCACCACCCAGGGGCTCCCATGTTTGCATTAAAATTAAATATCTTTATTTTGGACATTGGTTTAAAAACATCTTGGTACTAAAACTTATGTTTATTCTTTCATAACACTTTACATGTGACTGACCACGTACCCACAGATTTAGGCTATTTTATTTGATATTTTTTACTGCTGATTTTATTTCACTTGATTATTTCCTTTGGTTCTCTAAAACTACATTATGAAATACCTTAATTATTTAAATTAGGGACAGATTAATTATCTCCAGTGTACAAACTCAAATTAATTTCATTATTAACCCAAGTTTTAAATTGATTAATCTTGGAGTTAAGGAACCAAATGGGGTTTTTCTTTTTCATCTGTAAGGAGAAGAGCATATTTGATTTGATGAATCTTCTCTATCACAGCAGTTATGTTAATAGGAGCAAGAAATTTGCAAGAAAACTTTGAATAGCTTTTATAAACCACCCAGAAACCGGTGTGTCTGGGACTTCTGGGAGAACAATCTGTGAGTCATTTTAAAAAACAAACACACTCATAATCACAGTGCATGTTGTTACCATGGTAATTAGGCCTGTCGAGTTGGCTTGCTTATGTTCCTGTCAAGAGAAGAGGGGGAGAGAAACTGAGAATTCAGAGTTTGGACAATCAGCTTTATTTGCCTATTGCAAGAGAGAGTTAGGGGTTCTTGAAAATGTACTAGCACAGTCATCCTAAGAGGGAAGTGAGGAAACTCTGGCATCCTGCCTTTGTTATTGAATATAAGTTAGCCATATTAGTGTCCGGTGTTGTGATTCACAGGAGAGAAAAGGACCATTTGGCATTCTCTTGGGAAAAAGAGGGGGAAATAGGTCCTTTATCTGATATATAATTACATATAAGTCTCTAAGGTCTCTCTGGGGAAGTGTCTCGTGTGCAGGTGCACAGAGCTTTAATGATCTTCTAAAAGGCACCAAATACCACTTGCATAATGTTATTGCAGATTAAAGGATAGTCATTGTAAAGTGCATTATTCTAATATGGGTAGAGATTGGTTTCAGGCTATTGTTTCAAAGCTGATCCCCAAGTAGATGAGGTATCTTTTCTCCATTTTATGGAGTAGATATGACTCCTTTATCTTGGACACATCTTATAATACAGGCCCATGGGTCGCAGAGATTAGGAAGTTTATGTGAGTTCTGACAAATCTGTCACCACTCCAGAGGAAAGTAAAATCAAAATATAACACTTGTTTGATGGACAGTCAACAGAGTTATTGGGCCAGTGGACTTACAGTAGGAGTGAGTCATTATGATTCTATCTGAGGAACAAACAACATCCTTAAATTAAAAGTATGAATTAGCGTATATAAAACTGTTTTTAAGAATGTTTCTAAGTTTACTTTAAGGGGTCTAGATATCCTCTTAAATGGATAATTATACTATGTTGACTAGAGTTTTATTTTTTTTAGAGTATTCCTCAAGCAGATACTAAAGCAGATTTTATTTAAAGCTAAACAACTTTTCTGTATTGAAACTATTTTTCAAAAGGTTTGAAATAAAGTGCCATGAAGCATAATGAGAAGGTCATAGAAACTCAGGAAGTTGGAATGTGATATATGTCCTTGATAGGATATAATAACTACTTCTTGAAATTGTAGATTTCATTTTTTTCTCATATGGACAGAAGGCACATGTTGCTTGAAATCAATCCTGTACTATCTTAATTTTCTTAAAATTCCTAAACAGTGCTTAACTTAAATTTTTTTCTGGTAAAGTAATTCATGGTGATTACTGAAAATTTGGAAAATACTTAAATTGTAAAGAAATGACCTCTTCTCTATTAATTAGATTGTTGGTTGAACTGCATGTAACAGGGGCTTGATTTCACAGTGGGTGACAGAAGTTATTTCTCTTTCACATAATAATCCAGAGGTGGGTAGTCCAGTGCTGGAAAGGTCGCTCCGTAAGATCATCCAAGGACCTAAGCCTTTTCTGTCATGTTAGGCCATCACTCAGGCATGTTTCTCTTGCTTTATTATCTAACGTAGCTTTCCCTAAGGATCCCACCTATGACCATTATGAAGGGAGAGTGTTGGAAATGAGAGGGCATGACCCAGATGTTGCACATACCACTTTTGTAGTCATCCTATTGAACCATGTCTCATAGTCCCACACATTGGGGCAATGGAGGCTGGGAAAAGTAGTTACCCTTGACGTGTACATTTGTAGCTTAAAATTCTATTATAAGCATAGAAGAGCAGAGCAGTTACTGGTCATATCTAGCAATCCCTGCTATTTCAATTATCCTATAGATGATAGGATAGAAGAGGCAATATGCTGTTTACATTTTGATGCATCTTCTTCCAATAATTTTGTAGAATCTGTATCAGAAAGATTATACTATTTGCTAGAAAAGATTATTTGTGATGTACTAGAAGAATATTACATATTAAAAATATAAAAATATATTAGAAAAATATGTATTCGAAACCTATATATTAGAAAATTAACTGAGGTCACAACTATATACATATAATTTTGTATTTTTTTCACATTACTTTATGTTGTGTATTTTTCCTCATCATTTAAGTTGTTTGTAACTATCATTTCAAAGTTCCATCATGTACAGTTTTTGTTTTACTTAATAGATTATATTACTGATATTTAGGCTATTTCTAACACCCAGAAATACTTTTTTTTTATAAAGTCAAGGAGTATTGTCACTAAGACGGTGATTGAGAACATATTTGAGGATCTTGAATAGTGCCAAAATATTTTCCTGAGAGGCTCCTAGCACCAAAAATGCATGAGAGTACTGGACTCAGAGCACCCTTGGACAGGCTTATTTTGCAAGCCCCACTAATCATTGTTATCCCTAGGGTTCATTCTCTGAAATAGGTTGGTTTTGGCCCTTGGCTTTTTTTTTTTTATTTCTTTGCTGTCATTAATCATAAGATAATGTATTCCTAATAACTTTGGGTCATTTAAAACATATGATCCTTTCTAGTCATCTGGGAATAGGTTGGGCTGAGATTGTAGCATGCCTGCCAATCTTAAGCAATGTGAGGTCTTTATAGACAAGGATGTTCCTTTGGTCCTAGGACCCAATGTGAATTTGATTAAAATCTTCAGAAGTCATTGTAGCCAGGGGTATCGGTGTCTCTACTTTTAAGCAGCCTACAGAAACGTTGATACCAATGATGCTTATATAATTGCTAAATTGTCCAAATATACCCTCTTAAAGGGCTAGATACACACAAATGGAAGATCCACCTCTGTTCATAACACCTGGAGCATCGATGAGTTCTACCTCTGCCCTTTTGGTTCTGTTGGGAGCAAATTGGGTTAGGCCAAGAGTAAAACTTGTTCTTAGTCATCTCACTTAGTCATGTATGTCACCAAGAACTCTTCTTCCCTTAGATTCCCAAGTTGACTTTATGTTTTGATGTTTTCTTGCAGGCCAGGGAAGTCCATAAAGAAACAGATTCTTATTTTCACATCTGCTTCTTAAAAGAAAAAGAATTAACAAATTGTTGCTTGGCTCAGAAATGTAAACCTGTGAGACTTTCTGCCCTTAGAGCTATTCAGCCATTACCACCAAACCCTATTTACAGAAACACTCATTTGCTTATTCAGCTCTTATGTATCATGTTATTTTTCCTCTTTATAAAAAAACATTCATTTTCCTCTTTGCTTTCTCAACAGCCCAGATCTGCCAGTGAGCCTCAGGCTTTGGGAACTGAAGAGGTAAGAATTAAATATTTTCTCCTAGGAGCTTCTTGAATCTAACCAGAACTTGAAGAGAAAAGAATATCTTAACTGATCCTATAGATGAATGCATTTATTATGTGATGTTTATCAATAAGAAATATTCATAGCTTTAGCAAAATCAACAGGATTTCAGGATTTTGGAAAAAAGCAGTTATCCTTGATGATAGTTAAAATCAGATTTCTCACTCAGATTTTCCCATTTTTTTTCTAAAAACACAAGTTGGAGAGTCTTGAGGTGACAGCCTTAAAATGTCTTCTTATGGCACCATACTCAGTTAATTGGTTGCAGCTATTGATGACATTCCTTGTGCAAGACAGACATCACAGTAGATTAGTTCAGAGAAGGGTAAGCCCAGTTCTTAATAGATTGGTTGTACAGTGTAAGGGCTTTTCCAGCAGCTAAAGCAATAATAACAAAAGGTCAATCTTATGCTGTAGGGGTTTCTTCTTAAAGAAGTTAACTTGGCGTTTGAAAGTAGCTAAAGCCATTTGAATCTGGTTGTAGACTTGAAAGGTCACCATATTACTGAGACAGGTGATAATGTGTTTACCTGCCCTGACCTATAGTCAGCAACTTGGATTTTTCCCCCCATCTTAAAATTTAACATCATCAGGAAAAATTTCAAGGATATTCCAAAATAGAATAATATAATGAACTTCCCCATCACTCAATTTCCACAACTATCAATTCATGGCCAATATTTTTCATTTATCCGACCACCTATTTCTCTTCATTCCCCCATTGGATTGTATGTCAGTGGCTTGAATTTGGGTGTTGGATTTTAAATTGTTTATTTACATAACTATTTAGTGGTTACAGAAAAGTACTAGTAAAAAATACAACTTACTTATGACCTGATTTACTTTACTGCAGCTAGTCTTTCATCCATTTATTTATTCAGCAAACATTTAGTACTTGCTAGTATTAGAATCCCAGAATCTCTGGTCTAGAAGGCTACCTGGGTGGCTCAGTCAGTTGAGCATCCAACTCTTGGTTTCTGCTCACCTGGTCATGATCTCACAGGTTGTGAGATGGAGCCCTGTGTCAGGCTCCACACTTAGCGGGGAGTCTGGTTAAAGATTCTCTCCCTCTGCCCCTCCCCCCATTTTGTGTGTGTGTGTGTGTGTGTGTGTGTGTGTGTGTCTCAAGTAAATAAATAAATCTTAAAAATCTCTGGTCTAGAGCTTATTAGAAGAAAGGCTTGTGTGAGTGTGCTTTTAAGACCATGTATAGCTTTTACTATCTCATAAAGTACTTGCTTTTAGGATTTAAGTACTTAATATTTTACAATTGAGTATAGAACCATCCCTACATTCTACCAAATACAGTAGTCCCCCCTTATTTGTGGGGAATATGTTCCAAAACCCCCAGTGGATGCCTGAAACTGCACTAGTACTGAACCATATATATACTATGCTTTTTCCTATATGTATATACACCTGCAATAAAGTTTGATTATAAATTAGGCACAGTAAGAACTAACAACAATAATAAAGTAGAACAATTATAACAATATACTGTAATAAAAGTTATGTGACTATGGTCTTTTTCTCAAAATATGTTATTGTACTGTACTCACCCTTCTTGTGGTGACATGTGATGATAAAATGCCTACATGTGAGATGAACTGAGGTGAATGACCTAGGCATTGTGGTCACCTGCTTCCTTGCGGTTGACCAAGGGCCACTGAAACTGCAGAAAGCAAAACCACGGTTGAGGGGGGACTACTCTATTGCTAATAATGAAGACTGTCATACAAGTATTTGATGTTCTCTGATGTTTATGTTGATTTCTTTCATGCTAATGAATGTACTTTAATGTTTCAAATCAATCCAGGCAGCGTTTCTCAATGGGAGTTGCTGGCAGGTGGAATGGGACAATTCTTCATTGTACTCTTTGGTATTCCTATTTTGGGGCTTTTAAAAGGCCAGTGGCATCTTCTGATCATTGTGATATCCAGAGCACCCTTAGGAGACATGGAGAACTACTGTGTCTTTGCACACAGCTTTAGAAAGGTTCTCTGTCATTTTCCATTCTCATGAGCATTTTTGCTTCATGCAAATTTACTGATTTCGGTTATGCTCGATGGTTCCTCATGTAAGGGGTACTGTGGTAACTAAAGAAAGAATTTCACTGGGTTTTATACAATATGTTGGAAAATTGAATTTAAATAAAAAATTTTTTAAAAGAAACTAAATGAAGTAGACATCTAAAGAAAACTGGTGTTTGCACTATTGGAGGGATTTTGAGAAAATTTGCTCTAGTACCAAATCTGTTTTCTTTTAAGTCTATACAGAGAAGCAAATTAAACACTGGGTGAGAAATGGTCAAATATTGAGGTTAAGAGCAAAATACTATTAAGGTATTATGCAAATTAAAAAGCCGCAATGATGAAGGATGTATTCATTTCATGTTTGCTGCCATAGCAAATTATCACAAACTTAGTGGCTTAAAGCAATACAAATTACAGTTCTGCAGGTTAAGTTCTCTAGGGATCTCACTGCGCTAAAAGCACACTATCAACAGAACTATGTTCCCTTCTGGAGGCTCTAGGAGAGAATTCTAAGGTTTACCTCCCTCTATCTTTAAAACTAACACTACATCTCTGTATGCTTTCTCTCTTTTTTTTTAAGATTTTATTTTTATTTATTCATGATAGACATAGAGAGAGAGAGGCAGAGACACAGGCAGAGGGAGATGGAGGCTCTATGCTGGGAGCCCGACGTGGGACTCGATCCTGGGTCTCCAGGATGGTGCCCTGGGCCAAAGGCAGGCGCTAAACCACTGAGCCACCCAGGGATCCCCTCTGTATGCTTTCTACTCTATCTACATCTCTTAACTCTGAACTCAGAAAAACTTTTGATTTTAAGGTCCCATGTGATAAGATTTGGCCCACCTGAATAATCCAGGATACTCTCCCTCATGTGAAAGTCCTTAACTCAAAGTCCCTTTTCCCTTGTAAAGGTTACACATTCACAGGTTCCAGAGAGTAGGACATGGATTTATTTGGGGGTTATTATTCTGCCTACTACAAAGTAAAAGAGATTAGTTGTTCAGAAAAGCAGAAAGGCTAGTAGAGGTAGGAGTATCCAACATTTCATTGCATACTATTGAGCAGGTTTTGGGTTCCCAGGTTTCTTTTTTTTTTTAATTTTTAAAAATTTATTTATGATAGTCATACACACACACAGAGAGAGAGAGAGAGAGAGAGAGAGAGACAGAGACAGAAACATAGGCAGAGGGAGAAGCAGGCTCCATGCACCGGGAGCCCGACGTGGGACTCGATCCCAGGTCTCCTGGGCCAAAGGCAGGTGCCAAACTGCTGCACCACCCAGGGATCCCGGGTTCCCAGGTTTCTGAAGCAAGTTCTTTTTTTTTTTATTTTTTTATTTTTTTTTATTTTTTAAAGTTTTTTTTATATAAATTAATTTTTATTGGTGTTCAATTTACCAACATACAGAATAACACCCAGTGCTCATCCCGTCAAGTGTCCTCCTCCGTGCCCGTCACCCATTCACCCCCACCCCCCGCCCTCCTCCCCTTCCACCACCCCTAGTTCATTTCCCAGAGTTAGAAGTCTTTATGTTCTGTGTCCCTTTCTGATATCTCCCACACATTTCTTCTCCCTTCCCTTATATTCCCCTTCACTATTATTCATATTCCCCAAATGAGTGAGAACATACACTGTTTGTCCTTCTCCGATTGACTTATGAAGCAAGTTCTTTTATTGACTTTGCAAATCCTGTTTTGTAGATACAGGCCCTGAAGGTTTTCTTGGAGTATTTAGCATTGGATCCAGTGGACAGGTTGAAGTTCCACAGCTCCTTTCTTGGCCAGATCTTTTGGTACTATGGGTGTGGCCTCTGGAGAGTGTGCTGCTTTTGGACTTTCTGTAACTCTGGGGAGTTTGCCCACAGTGTGCAGGTTCCAAAGTCATTGAATAGTACCAAAGAAATATAAGATTTTTATTTTATGCTGTTATGTCTGCCTGTCATATTATGCTATATTTATTAGGCTCTAAAATGTGGAAATTGGAGGAAAACATAACGTAATATTTTAGAGCCTCACTGTAGTGGCATTTATTATAGCTAATTTCAAAGTATGGTTTAATTTCCATCATATATCAGGTAGGTCCTCCCCACAAAGTAAGAAACCATTTCTTGCCTAGGGAATGAAATAGACCACTGGGTTATTTTTTGAAAAGCATCTCTGGAGTAGAATGTAGCTAGAAATTTTAGTTGGAGATGTTAAATTTTTTCAGCTACTTTTGTAGCAAGTCCCTTTTCTATCCACTTCTAGACATTCCAACAATGCAAATCTGAAGACAAAACCTAGAATTAGTAATAGGATAACAAATCATTCTAATTTGTCCAAGACCAGGGGTTTCCTGGGACACAGAACTTTTGGTGCTAAAACTGGACCAGTCCTGGACAAATCGGGACAATTGATCACCCCACCAGATGTCTAACAAATGGCTATGTGGAAAGTATCTGTCACATCAATGAATTGTTAAAAATAGAATTTTCTTTTAAGATTTTGTTTTGGGGCACCTCGTTGGCTCAGTCGGAAGAGCATGCAACTCTTGATCTCAGGGTCATGAATTTGAACCCCACATTGGATGTAGAGATTACTTTAAAAATAAATAAAGATTCTATTTTGAAGTAATCTCTATACCCACTGCAGGGCTCGAACTTACAACCCTGAGATCAAGAATAACCTACTGAGCCAGGTAGGTGCCCCAAAATAGAAATTTTAATTGACATAGATAATGACAACAACCCCCAGGGCTTAGGCTGAAGATAAGAGTGACTCCAACTCTTGGAAAATCTGTATCCACATATACATGTTTGCCCAAACCAACTTAAAAAAACAAAAAACAAAAAAACCCCCAAACCTTCAGATTGAGAACTAAGAAGAAACTGTGACATTTAGGAAGTGGTACATTTCAAGCCCTACCCTTTCAGTTTCTCAGTGT